AAAAGTATGTACTATATAGACTAAAGATATAAATAACTTGGAAGGAATCTAAACCAATGTTGCTTCATCATTTGCTTATACCAAAAGTTTAACTCTTGCACATATTATCATCATTGAAAGTGGAGGTATAGGTGAAAATAAGAAGTAGAATTAAATCTATACATTGTTGTCCAAGTGCTTGAGTTTGTGTTCAAATATCTTGAATTGAAGATAAATATTCAATAATTGGTTATTGGTGACCTTTGCCAATGTCCAAATCTCCCACTATATCTTCATTATTACTTTTTATATGTGATGAAGTTTCCATAGGCTCAATTTTAACTTTTATTTCTTAAGATTTATCAATAGAAACCTCTAAAGTTTCTATTGTTTATTTAGAATCTTCACACTCAACAAACTTAACATCACGGCTCTTAATTATGGAGCTATTTTCAATGTCGTACAAACAATAACACTTAGTACCCTCAATATAGCTCAATTTTATTTTATTTTTATTTTATTTTAATTCTTGGAATCAGGTTTTGTACATTTTTTATTGAAATGTATATATAGACATCACATCCAAAGACATGAAGGTATAGTACTAAAGATTTTATATCTCACCAAACTTCTTTAAGTGTTTTTCTTTCCACAATTGTAATAGGACCTCAATTAAAGACATATATTATAGTGTTGATGGCTTTTTCTTACCATGTATTTGAAAGTTGCTCATATTGTAACATACACCTAGTACTCTCAAACAATATTCTATTCTTGCATTCTACAAGTCTATTTTGTTGAGGCATATGAGGCATCAAAAATTGTCTTTCAATGCCATGTTACTTACAAAACTATTTGAGTGCCTTAGATGTGTATTCTCAACCATTGTTACTATGAAATTTTTAAATTTCTAAGCCTATTTGTTTCTCAATTAGAGCCTTAAAAATCCTAAAGTTATCCAAGATTTTAGACTTTTATTTCATAAAATATACAAAAATATTTATTGAAAAATTATTAATAAAAGTGAAAAAGTATTTTGTCCGTCCATGAGATGTTGTCCTCATAGGACTATTTACATCACAATGTATCAATTCCAAGAGTTTTGTTGCATAAGTATCACCTTTTATTTAAAAAGTATTACGATGTTGTTTTCCATAAACACACCCCTTGCAAAACTTTAACTCTATGTTCTTGCCTATATCCAAATGAGTGACTATACCACCTACTTATAGTTTCTTCAAGTCCAAAATGCCAAAATGACCATATTTTTGATGCCAAAGATCAACCTTATTCAAAATCTATTTCGTCTCCGTAACAATAAAAGTCCTTTTATCTTCATCCAAAGATGCTAGTAGCTTGTACAAGCTATCATGCCTAATACCTTTGATGATTGCGTTGTCTCATTTCATAAGACATGTACTAGCCTTGAAATTGAATTTATAACCTTGATCTGTCATTTTGCTAATAGAAAGCAAATTCTTGGCCAATCTTTCAACATTCTAGATATCATATTTTTGGGGATATGAATCTTGAAAAAAGAAAATCCTCATTACACTCTTGTGTCATTGAAGAGAACTAGAAAGTCACTCAAAAGGTAATGTAATATTAACTAAAATAGCTATTGCCAAAAATAAGAAGACTAGAAAGTCTTGAAACAAGACTAAGAACTAGAATGGCATTGACAAGAATAAAGAAAACTTCACTTTTACCTCTATATATATACTCTTAATTAGGAACTATGTGGCAATGTCCTATATAACGTCCAAAACGTGTTGACTTTATTAGCCGCATGTCTTAACTTGCAAGGCAAGTTATCTATGTATGCGCCACATGATTAACTTCTTCTACAAGTTACTATATGGAATTAACTTCTTCCACAAGCTACCAACACGTGGTTAAGTTGTTGGCCAAGTTTCCAACCTACAAACACATCTTAAGTCAAAATTGCATCTATGAAGCTTCTAAGAAACTTTTCTAGAAGTCTTTATGAAATTAATCTATATTTATCTATTTCTACTTAATCATATAAGTAATTATTGAGATAAATGTATATGTCCTCGACACATATACATCCTTTTGAATATTATTTAGAAACTAGAAAGACATCTTACTATTTTTTTTGATGGCAAGTCCAATATCATTGCCCAAATAGAGTTTAAGGCCTTGTGGTAGATTTTTGTAACTTAAAAATCAACTTCAATTTTCCATCATATGCTCAGAAGCACCAGAATCAATGTATCATTCTTTGTCACTTATAGTGACAAAAAACGTAGCTACAAAATTAAATTCACCCTTCATTTGATCTTTTTCATCTATTATATTAGAGTGTTCTTTTTAAGAAGTCTTCTTCAACTTTTCTAACTTCTTATGCTTCTCCTTAGTGCAACATTTTTTCTCATAGTAATCTTTTTTGCTACAATATCTGTATTTGGCATCCTTCTTGTAATTATGTGAAGATCCTACATGAGTATGAATATAAGAATGTAGTTTGGATTTTCTTTCAATAGCCAACACTGCCTTAGAGGTCAATTCCACATTCTTGTTGTAAACTCTTGTTGCAATAACTGAATTATGGTTACAGTCAATATCAACTCGACAAGAGATCATGTTTCCAATGACACCATTAAGGTATAGTATGACTCTGGAAGACTCTCTAATAATGCCATGACAAAATGTGTGTCTAAAGCTTTCTTTTCAATTGAAGAAAGTTGCTTAGCCATTTTCCACAATTTGCTTATGTGCATAACAATGTTATCACCTTCATTCATTTGTGCAGTCCAAAACCTGCAAATCAAGAATAATAGGCTTGAGGTATTTTTAACTTCATATGTTTCTTCTAGACTCTTTTATACAGTCTTTGCACTTATTGCTTTATTTGTTATCATGAACTCTGAACTAGAGAGATGATAACAAATTGCATATAATACCTCCTTGTCTATACTTTCACATTTCTCTAACTCAATCAAATCTATGGGTGATCTAATGATTTTCTTGTATTTTCTACATACAACCTTCTATAATTTCTTGTGGATTAGAATAAATCTAATGCTCTCTTTTCAAAGATGCCACTTGTCTCTAATAAATTTCTCTATGATGTAATATTTTGTTGCTATGATACAAAAAATATGCTAAAGATAGAAGAAATAATAGGACTAAGAGAAGAAAATTAGAAGGGATAAAAATGTAATCAAGGTGAAGCTCAATTCCTTCTTATATAGCCTTTTATTTGAGTATTGATAGAAATTCTAATTTTTTTCTAAAATACTAAAATTTTGGATGATTATATTATAGTGCCACCAATGCTCTCAAAAAATTTTAAGTTTAAATTTCCAAAATTAACTAAGATATATCAATTCTGATAAATATATGTCTAATTTAAATCAAAAAATTTAACTTGCAAATCTTCTTGGAGTCATTGGATTTGTTGGATTCCATAGACTCCTTAAATTCCTTTGAACTTGATGTTTGGAGTCCCAATTCATATCACCAAACCTCTACATTGGCCAATCCGATTGTGTATTTCTAATAGTTTGTTCCTGACAAGACTATCTCGACTATGCATTCTAAATAGCTAGTTTTTAGTAAGACAATTCTGACTGTACTATAGCTTTGTGTAGACTAAAGGATTGTATGTACTGTGGGCATAATTTCTTGAAGCTCCAATACCTCCTTCTTGGTCCTCTTGATTTCTTACATTGCTTTTAACAAGAGCTATTAAATGAAAATTAAACTTCTTCAAAAGTGTTCAAAAGACTACATTCTACAAAACAATCTCATACATATTACAACTTACAAAGGACAATTTAAGAGCACCAAACTCCAATACCATGTGATAAAATATGAAGTATATTATTAGAATAGAAATACAAATATATAAAGAAAAGAGAACTAAAACCACTTACCAAAATGAGCTTCTAATTTGAATTCTATACTACTAGTCCAATATCTAACCACATGGACTTTCTAGTATGAATACACAAACAACTAGCCTAGTCAACAATGTCCAATTAACATGTAGACACTTGTCTTAATAGGCAACATGATGACTTGGTAAGCTATGACACCTAAATAGTATTACTACCAACAAATAGTGGCTACAACTTGTCAATTGACAAAGCAATGTAAACCACCTATTCTACATTATGTTAATAAGTAACATGATGACTTGATAAGCTATGACATCTAAATAGTATTACTACCAACAAATAGTAGCTACAACTTGTCAATTGACAAAGCAATGTAAACCACCTATTCTACATTATGTTAATAGGCAACATGATGACTTAATAAGCTATGGCATCTAAATAGTATTACTACCAACAAATAGTAGCTACAACTTGTCAATTGACAAAGCAATGTAAACCACCTATTATGTCCAATAAGAGTAACACATGTAGTGCCATGTTGGACATTTTATTCTTTCTCCATTACTACTATTAAGTTGCTTAGAGTTGTAGCAATCCAAATAAGAATGTCTACCACGGTAAATTGAAAATAATTGTTTACACATAGTTTAGTTAGAAGGTTTAATCAAAAGTATTCTCCCTTTCAAAAAAAAAAATCACCTCTGGTACTGAACAGTATTTTTGATACGCGGAGTAGTTTTCAGTGATAAAAATTTAATACAGGCATGAAAAAATAGATATCAATATGCATACTCTTGTTTTACATTGTGCATCAACTTGTATCTAGGACATTGTCATCACGATCTCACCCCATCAGTTTCTTCACTAAATTTGCAGCAATTCTTAGATTGCATTGGGTACGCCAGTGGTCAGCTTCCATTCAGCACTAAGTAATCTATAAGAAGAATTTTATGCCCGAAGAAAAATAGAATCTGATGTAAAGAATCAACACCCAAGTCCCGCCAACTGAACACGGATGACTCGACATAACGCACGGTATCAAGTCAAAGAGACCATACACTTCACTTCAAACAATTCACAGCGGCTTCAGCACCACCATTGCAAATATAATCAGACAGACACACCATCTAGAGCTCCAAACAATAAAGCAAGGCATTCAAGTTGATAGCAGTAACGAAGTTAAGAAAGAAAAGCAATCTTCCGTCGTGTTGATCCAAAACAACAAGATTCACTAGTGCAAAATCTTCAGTCAAACTCTACTTTTTTGACTTCTTCGCTGGAGCATCACTCACTGGAGTCTCGGCAGCCTGGGCAGGAGCAACAGCAGGAATACCCTGTGCCTGTCGCTCCTCCCTCCTGGCGATCTTGCGCTCACGTGTAGCCTTGTTCTTGGCGCGCCTAGCCTCGAATTGGTCAGACAGAGTCTTTTCACGTGCCTTCTCAGCCTTAGACTTGTGAATGCTCTCCATCAAGACACGCTTGTTCTTGAAGACATTACCTTTGACTTTCATGTACATATCATGGTACATGTGCTTGTCAATCTTCTTAGCATCACGGTACTTGCGCAACAGACGCCTCAACACTCGCATGCGCCGCAACCACAAGACCTGCATATCCACTTCGTTTCTCATGAATACATCCATGTGTTGTTAACCATAACCTAACCAATTCCCAGTGAATATTCGTGAAATCTTCTCTACTCATCCCAAGTCTCCACAATTGAACGAATTTTTAGAGAGTGAAGATGTGTTAAAGTACTGCAGCCCAGGGAAAACGCAGTAGCGTATGAGCACATCACGAAAAAGTGACAAACATTGCAGCTGCACGTGAAGCCCTAAGGCGTGCTACATAGGATGCATCCACGTACATCGGCTACATGGTAGTTCACAAGCTATATGAAAATGAACAAACTCTCAATTTGCCCTTTTGAACTCTACACAACCCTAAAAAATAGTGGCAGCAAATCTTCACTGTCCGTTCTTGAACAATGTGTAGACCTTATGCAACAGATGAAAACAAGAGATCGCCCTAGCTTCAAGAATATAACGCAGAAACCTAGGCTAAATGCCAAAGTTTAAGGCAAAGAGAAGCTGACATGTAATATCTAAAGCCAGTAATATCAGTAAAAGATACCAAGACAGGGTGACCCCACAAATCCCAGGAAACCCTAAATAACAGCAATCAGAAGAAAAAACACAAGCTCAAAGTACTGAAAAAAGAGACAATCACTGCGTGACGCAATCTGTCGTCACTCTAGTAAGAAACCCTAAATCGAAAACAAGTCGGCAGCATTGCGGTACCTTAGTAGGAAGTCTGGCTTCTCGAGTACCACGGCGCTTCCCGTATCCTGAGTGACGGCCCTTCCGTTTCGCCTCCAAAGCACGGCGAGCACGGGCACGCGAGTGAATCTTCTGGGGCTTGCGGATGACGAAGCCATCCTTCACCAGCTTACGGATGTTCTGCCGGCTGTTGGCCATGGAAATCTCGTTGACCTCATTGGGGTCGAGCCACACCTTGCGCTCTCCGCACTTAAGCACGCTGGCGGCCAAGCGCTTCTGCAACTTGAGGGACACCATGGCGAGGAAGTGGAGGGGATGGCTATGGCGGACACGACGGGGGAGAGGCCCTGCAACTCCAAAGACAGAGCGAGAGAGAGCCCCAGTTCACCAAGGCCTCTGCTCTTGAGGGCAAGGGACTCTTCCTCTCCTTCCTCTTATCGCGGGTCCCCCCCCCCCCTGGCCCCCGGCCCGTCTTCTTCCATCTCTTTGGTTCCTCTCTCCATTTCCTTTCCTTACTGTGGGTAGATTTTTTATTGAATGCTTAGACCACTTTACATACATGAGTGGATAGTTTATTTTTTGTATTGAATTAAAAGTGCCAACTCATGGACGTACTTTTATTTTATTGTTATTTTTTATCAACTACACCTGGTCAAAGTGAATGTTGAATGTTGATGAATTTGTGATATTTCATAATGTTATACACAATGAAAAGAAAAATGAATATATGGATGTATTGATATATGTGGTGTTTCACTTTCTATATATATATATATATATATATACACAAATTATAATTTGGGAATTTTTAAATTGACCTAGATATTTACTAAATCAATCATCATTGGTTGAGGATGCAACTATTTTTTTCATTGGTTTTTGATTGATCCAGATCTGGCATTGGAGAATTTTTTGATGATGGTTAGGATAAGTGGGTGAGTTTAGTAAATGCTTGGATCAATTTAACAAACCTCTAAAAAATTTGTTTTAAAATAGTAACAACCAACAATATTTCTTGACGTTCTTATTTATTGTCTACCTCTACATTCAATTTAGATAATTGTATTTAAAGAGTGGATTTTACAAAATAGAAATAAACAAACAAATAAACAAACAAATAAAGGTCTTTTAAAGTAGCATATGTTGTTATAAATAGATGCACAAATAAAATTTGTTTGATGTCAAAATCCAAAAAGAGACCTGAGTGTTTGTATTAAAATAAAATTAAAAAATTAAAAAATTAAAAACTAACAAACAAACACTGGAAATGATGGTATCTTAAAAAATATTACGTTTAAAAAATCATGTAGACCTCATATTATATTTGTTTTTATATACTTTTTTTTTTGTCAAGTATGGGAAAAGTAACTTTCAAGCAGTGTAACATCTTGATTTAAAAATGCTTATGGTGACTTTATATCTTTTGGTAAAATATTATTGGTGTTAAGTGTAAGGTCTTCTGTCTCCTAAAACATTTATTAATATGCGCTTCTACAAAGTTTTATCAAATTAAGATTGATTTCAATTCATTTAATATTTTTTTCTATTTGAAGAAATAAAGAAATAAAGAAATAAAGAAATAAAGAATTTAAGTTCATTACATACATATACATAACTGATAATTTAATTGATTATTTTATATTTTTTTACAATTACCATCTACTCAAATCTTAATTTTTTTTTTTATTTTTAGAATTGTTTTAATCACCGAGTTTTTTGTGACTTGTATTTGGAATATAGATGTGTATATATATATTTGATATTTTTTCATATAAGTTTTGTTGGCCTTCTCAATATTTGATTTTCTAGAGGAAAAAAAAAACAAACAAATAAACAAACAAACAAAAAAACAAAACAAACTCAACCTTTGAAATATATTTCACATTGACATTTTTTATTTTTAATTTGATTTTATTGTCTTTAAAATAGGAGTTGTGCTCACTTCTATTTCAATTATGAATTCAAAGAGGTATTTACATCATCTATGCAGGAAGTCTTTATGGTTTTAATCGTGTAGCTGTATTCATTTAGTTTTGGTCTAGTTCAAATGTTCCATGAAATGTGTCCCTAAATGATTCTTTATTCTTACATTCAGGAAGAAAATTTTGCATCAAATACATCAAATACAACAAAGATGAGTCAAATTTTGACCTTTAAAGCTGAAAGAATTTAATTCGTGATTTAAAACGCTTTTAAAACCTGTAAATGCATGAACTTTGTGATCACAAAATTGGTATTTGCAAATCAAGCGTCAAATCACTTCAGACAAATATAACTCAAGTTAACAAGATATTAAGGGCAGGAATGAAGAAAGATGAAACAAAAAAACAATGAAAATGATACCAATTGATAAATTTTGATACATGATTAATAATTTGAGCACGAGTTTCTATTTTTAATTTGTAATCAAATAGAGGGAAAAAATCAAACAGAACAAATCAGTAAAATAAGAATTTATTAATATCACTAACTATAAACTTTACATTATTTTATTTCTGATTAGCATTAACATGTAAAATACATCAGATTATTTTAAAAATATTTTAACCATTATTATACATAAATATATGCAAAAAAATTAAAGATAAATCTTGATATGGGATTAAATTGTATTTAATAGTAAATTTCTATTTATATGTATTTTGAATGAGAGTTAGTTTTATATGTGAGATTTACCCTTTTGTTTTTGAAGAGAAATCAGATCATGTATATACTAAATTCATAATATTTTTCCTTGATGTTGTGGATCATCTTTATTGAATGTCATATCAATCTCATAACCTAAATTAGAAGAATTAGTTGTATCATGAGTTACACTTATAGGACATTGCAATCTTTATCATTATTTCCAAAACATATCTTAGCTACACAAAGAATACTCTTATTAGAAAAATCATGACAAAATGATTGTGATGCTAAATTTTTCTTATTCAATTGAGCATTGATTGAAGATGGTGAATGTTTGGTGGATTTTTCATTGTTTTGTGTGTGTTCAATTGGAGTTTGTGTAGAATGTACTATTGGATATAGACTACTGTAAGGACCCATTTCAACTTCTTGCCTTTGATTCATAGAATGACTTCCAGCTTCAAAATCCACTCCATCATCATACTCATTTCCTCCTTTGAATTTGGGTCCAAAATGCAAGGCCCCAACAGATTTTGATGGAGCTTTTAAAAAATTAGAGTAAACAGATTCTCTTGATTCTGAAGAGGATTGAGTCTTTTGTTTTAATTGGGCTAAATCAGCTCCAATTTTATCTATGGAGTACCGTCTCGGTTCATCATCTCGTCCTCGTACATGAGTAACATGAGTTTTTTTTTCATATTGGACTTTGGGTGTATACATGCTCTCTTGCTCTTGTGCTTCGAGTTGTTTTCCAAGTTTAAATGACAACTCTCTCCTTACTTCCTCAATTGAGGCCCTTTTAGATGAATCCATCAATTGGTGATCATCAATTAATTCATTCCCAATTTGATTACCAGCACTTGTCTTTTGATTTGATTGTTGAAGATCAACATATTGATGTGACAATTCCTTCTCATTATTTTGGATTGTTGACAACAATTGTGTTTGAGTTGGCATAGGTTTGTAATCTGTGGTTAAAGTGGATGCCTCCCATGTGTTATTGTTTTTTTCACTGTTGCTTGGTGCATCTTGAAACAAGGCCTTAATACTTTGAACAAAAGATGGTTTAGATTCTTTTGGAGCTTTGGATCCTAATGAATGAGCATAAGACATTGATCTGATTGATTTCTCAGAGTTATTTTTTTTGGGATCTTTGTAAGACAATGCTCCATATGATTTATAGTAATTTACCCCATTTGTATCATTTGTAGACATATGCTCTTCATAACCATTTTTGTTGATGTTTGTGTCACTAGATTCAATAACAATTTCATTTTTAAATGAATCTTCAAGATTGTTTTTATTTGATGGCTTCTGGAAAAAGGATGCAATTTTACCAACAAACGACTTTGCTGACTTGTTCTTTGTTTGGCAGGTAGTTGGTGAAACATAAGACTTTGAAGGTTTCTTTTTGCTTGCTTGAATGTTTGTAGTTGAGTAATTTTTCCATAAATCTTCTTCATCATAATGTTTAAATTCTATTTTTTGAGCATTACCCTGAAATTGTGAACTTTCATTTGACATATTTTGAGATATTGATGTGTTGTTTGCAATAGAAGTCGATGGCATACTTTCTTGCAATTCATATGTAGATGTTGAAGGATTTGACAAATGAGGTTGTTGAGTATTTGCAACATAAGATTGCCTAAATTTTGTGTCTTGCACACATGCATCATTAGTTTGTGATGGTACATCACTACTTGAATTTTCTCCCCAAACAATATGTTCTTTTTGTTTGTTATGCGGACCATGATTTAAAATAGATTGAATAGGGGGCTGTATGTATGCACCATTATTAGATTCGTTTTCATTATTATGGGGTGATTTATCATAAGAATCTTTGTAATCTAATTCTGATTCATAAAGGTCGTTTTTAATCTCAGAGTAAGTGTTGTTTTGAAGATTGAATTTAGCACTCTTTGCAGATTTATTGTTATTGTTTTTGTGAGATTTTTCTTTTTTGGGAGTAGGATTTGAAAGATTGGATTCTTGGAGGTGATATTGACATGGAGCTGACTTCCGAGCCCTATGGCTATGCTTGCTATTTGATGAATTTCCATTTGATACATAACTTTTACTTCGTGATGATGGGATTTCATACTCAATTTCTTCATCCGTCCCATACCCACTTGCATCCATTTTAGACTTTACATATGAATGTTTAGGCGTTTTGTAATAGGTTTTTTTTGGCTCGTCTTCTTGGGGTGCGGGTATAAAATTCACTTTAGAGCCTCTTTTCTTTGCTCTATCAAAGTTAAATGGAGGTGCTATCTCAAATGATACATCTTCATCTTGTGGTTCTTCTTCAATCATGATATCATTATCAAACTCATTGTTGGGTTCCACGTGTTGTTCAACAGTTGGAGGCAACAAGTATTGATCACTGTGTGGTGGTAAATCATGTTGTGTGGGTAGAAGGTTTGAATCCCAATTTGTTTTTATTGATTGTTGAACTTCATTGTATGAAGATTTGAAAAATGATAGTTGCTCTTTAAAGTCCACATCCACTACAAATTTCTTGTGAATGGTAATCTTCATAGGTGCAATTACTACACTTATGTTCTTTGAATTGTGGTTCCAATCCAATTCAGAATGTTTTGAACAAGTATGTACAATTTGTTGTTCATCTTCATTAGACGAATTGTGATGAAAATTAACGGTCTCATGCTCCTTGTTTTGTGATTGCAATTGATCCTCTTCAATGTTTTCTTCTTTAAAGATTTGTGGTGATTCAATTGGATCATATTGACTATTCTCTATATCATTATCATTCAATACAACACCATCATTTGAAACAAAATTATGATCATGGAACATTTGTTGCCTCAAATTTTGCTCTTCATTCCAAGAGTTGTCCATGAGTGAATCATTATTCTGATCTTGGTATTGTGATGAAGATGGTTCATTATCCTGATCTTGGTAATGTGATAAAGATTGTTCATTATTCTGATCTTGATAATGTGATGAAGATTGTTCATTATTCTGATCTTGATAATGTGATGAAGATTCTTCATTTTCATTGAAATAGTTAGTGTTTTGGTTGGTAGAAGAATGATTCTCTTCAAATGGTTCATTTTTTACACTATTTGATTCCACATGTTGTTCAGATTGTTGATAATTCATAACACTTTGATCTCCCACAGAATGAGTACCATACTCTTTCAAATCATATCTTAATCTGCGTATTTCAGCAGCTAGTCTTTGAATGTCACGAGTCTTTTGCGCAAGCTCTTCCTTCATACATTTTATTTCAGAACATAGTTAAATAAAATTTGTGGGAGTTTTTTCTTCTTCTTTCCCTCATTAAACTTAAAACTTTAATTTATACCAAGTATTTATTGCTCATAATATATATATATATATATATATATATATATTTACACATATATAGTAAGAAACAGTGGAAAATAAATCACACATATTGCTTGGTGTTTGTATCCACAAGCAACTCCAATAAGTCATAGGCCATGCTCCCACAACTAGTGGTCTTATGAAACTCTAGTTTCACCAACAGTCTTTCCTCCATCATCTCATCCAGAAATGAACATTCCAACTATCATAAAACAAACCAATTATTTTTATTTTTATTTTATTTTAAAAAACACTTGATTACATAACGTTCTGCATGTTTTATTAAAAAGACTGCAAACTTTCATCACTCAAACCATATTCACATAACAAAAAATCTCACGTAAAGATGTCATAATACAACATATAAGCAACAAAAACTCAAATGACAGAACTCTAATCAAGATTTTACAAATGCAACATGATTGATAAGCTTCGGGTGCAATGCGAGGTTCAAGTTGTGAGTATGTTTTGTGTAGTTGGTGTGGGCTTTGTAGTTGTTGTTTTTTCAGTGCAAGAAAGGAGAAACATACATGGAGGACTTGCCATTTTGACGTCAGGATCCACGGACATGAACGCATACTTGCTTTGCAAGTGATGTTGGCTGAAATGAGCATGCATTCGGTCCAACCACTCCACCACTTCGATCCCCCACCGACTGGCTTCATGCGCAACAAACTCTTGCGTAGCTGCTTGCAAAAAAGATCAGTGATAGCATTACCATCTTCCACATTCTATCGACACCACTCTAACCACCACTCACACAAAAAACTGACCTCCCTGCCGGATCCTCATGACAATTACAATTGGTGGGTGATGGGTAGAGATATTCTCGGTGCTTGGAAACCTAACCCTACCGATGCCGTGCATGGTTTTGAGATGAGGTGGGTGTGCGGAAGCAGTACCGTTGCAGACCCAAGTGTCGTAGCCGTCCATCACCGACATCAGGAAGTGGGTTGGATACCAAGTACCCTTCACGTAGATGATTTGGGCTCCATTTCCCACATCTGCGAGCTGCAGCTTAGCGTAGGTTTCATTCTCTCTGCCCAGTGCCGCGAATTCGTCGTCGCTGTTCATGGTCCCTCGCAGGGCCATGTCCTCTTCAATTTGATCCTCTGTCATTGGTAACTCCGCCTTCACATGCACAATATGGCATGCGCAAGACCTGTGGCGATTGCCGAATCATACATTGCACTGTCCCTGTCGCATTAGGCTCGTCTCGTGCGATTGTTTTGTTTTGTTTTGTTTTGGTTTTATGGTCTTCTGTTATTCACCAATTGCGTAGGCCATTGTTCGGCCTTTTAGTATGTCAAGGATTCGAAACTCACATCAGGGATTGTATGGATTGACTCTGCATTTTCGAATTCGGGATCTGATTCTAGCACATTTGAAACCTTTGGAGTGTACTTCCTGAGAATGAGAGTAATATTTGGTTGAAAATTGTTGCACACAGAGAGGCTGTGATCAACAAAGTTTTACCCCATTTTCAGCCCCTACCCTTGCTCATCTTTACTCAAAATCCCCACACCGGTTCACTTGGTGTGTCCACACTACGTGCACTTCGATTTCGGAGTTTTAAGGTGTTACACTGTTTTTTTTTAGAGAAAATGGTGTCTTCGTTATGCATTCATTTCACCGTTCAAAAACTAGGAGTGTGACTTGGCCTCCTTTTTTGGATGGCGTCGTTCACGTTCTGGTGCCGAACACATCTCCTAGCATGACACCTCTTCAGCCAAGCATTCGAGATGCCCAATTATCTAAGTCGTTTCATTCCAGGATAGTCGCAAATCGTTCTTCAGCTAATTCCTTACGCTCGGTGTCGGTGATACAATCTATGCCAAACAACACAAGGAACACAACAGAATAATCGAAGTCAGCAAATCGGTCATGGGAAGTTTATCCAGGTGAATCGAAGAGAGTAAATAGTCTCCACAGAATTGTATTCGGTTGAAAGGAACTAGCCAAAAGGTATAATTGTGCTCATCGCAACAAATACTTTCTACGGAAATGTGGGTATGTGTGTTCATGTGTTACAGGTCCTTGTCAAAGTGCACATGAGGACTGTTCAACCTGATGATCCAATTAGATGCAGGGAAGCACTAGAGTTTTTTTCTTCTGATTAGCAAAGTGTGAATCAAACTATTTCGCCAGGCTTGAGGAGCAGCCTTTCTAATCAACCCATGTGGCTTTTATCTTAAATGTCGTGTGCGGTATGGAAAGCCAAGTTCAGTGTGCCTGCACAAAACATAGCTTCTAAACAAAAAAAAACCGCACCGGGTGCTCTGTTTGAACAGTGAAAATAGACAGGATGATCACTGCTTGTGAACGCAAGTTTTCAAATCGGGCCATTGGATCAGCTTCATTCCAGACTTTGCCAGATGCACATCACCAAAGGATAATTAAGAAATTTACAAGAGAAAAAACTTGCACAGAATCGAGAGAAGCGTTGTCTCTCAACAAGAATAAGAATTCTCAGGTATGTGCTTTTGATGTCATTAATGTTAATATATGACAATGATATTAAGACAATTTAGACACACATCAAACAACGAGAAATACAATGAGGTTGACGGAGACGGGTCCAATCTTCACCTCGTAATGGTGTTATTAGCACTATCATATCACCAGATATTTCAACTATGAGTATTGTAGGTCAGCGACGAAGAATTTTAAAAAACCAAAAATAAAATAGATGTGTTATTTTGGAAATGAGAGTTGATGGCGGTGGTAGGGTGAAGACTGCTGTGACAACTCTTCAGTCAAACTGTTCTTTGAATGTAAGCATAAGACATTTCTTGTCTTGTTCTTATCGTCTTGCCGGGTCATAGAACAATAATTCACGGTTCAAAATAATTCACGGTTCAAAAGGAGCACAATGTTACTAGAGTCTTTGAGTGTCCTAGCATTATCAATCTTTGATTTTGAACCAACAAAAATGACCTATAATTAAGGGTATTGATGGCATTACCTGCTAAGAATCCAGGTGAAGCTGACAATGACCTGTCTTTAGAAGGTTCTCTCGAAGAAGAGCAAGGTTCAGGAAACCTAACTCAAGGGGCGAGTAGAAACTCTAGGTATTTTAGGGCATCTAAAATTCGGAGTAAAGAAGTTGTATGATATCAACAAACAAACAAACTCCTGTAAATAAACAATGCTAGCATATTTGAAAACTTTTAAGTCATACATGCCAATTCTTTTTAGAATAAATTGTTTTTTGTTCCTCATATATTTTAAATGTATACATCTAAATGCAATGTTATGTTAAATACACGAATATTTGAAATAGATTTGCATTAATACAATGAGAATATTTATTAGATTGCAATATAGGTGTAAATTAAGTAGAAAATTTTAAGTATGTAGAAGATAATTAAAAATTTTATTCTTAGGCATGTACATCAAAAAACATGCAACCATGTGAATTATAATAAGATTATTTTGATATCTCAAATTCACATTTTAGAACCTCATACTTAGAACTTAAGTTAGCTATGGTTACCAAACTCTGATCATTAGTAGACTTGTGTATATTATTTCAGCACTCCCTCTTACAAATAGTTTGTTATTATCAAGATGTTACAAATTAAGTTAAAATCAAGTGCAATTGTGATTGAACTTTTCCATAAGCAAATAGAATATCTCTCTAAGGTATTTTCTATTGTTGCTTAATGTCAAGCAACTTGTTTTGTTTTTGACAATAAACATCTATGCAAAACAAACACTAATTGCAAATTGCTTTACAATGAAAATTATGCATATATATATATATATATATATATATATATTTCTTCTTTAAGATATGTAATTGAAGATATTTAATATTGAAGACTAGACATTTGAGCATTGTAAAAATTAGCAAGTTGAATGTTGTTTTAGAAAGAGCTCCACAATTAATTCTTGATTGATAATAAATTGATAACTTTGATGTGAATTTGTCTATTGAAATAGAATAAAAAATTTGAAGTCAGACATTATAATCATAAGATGTTAGTTAATCCTAAAATAAGAATGTAAGAAGCTTAATTCTAATTTTTTCACATAAAACACTAAATCTTGCCTTGGATAGTGGTTTTGTAAAAATATCACCTAATTGTGTAGTAATAGATATATACTTAACTTGAACAACTTCTTATCTAGTTTTTTTAAAAAAAAAGTGATGATGGAGTTCAATATGTTTTGTACAAGCATGTATTACAAATTGTAGTTAATTTGATGCATATTTGATTGTTATTATAAATTGTGGTTGGATTAGTGCAAGTAACCTACATATTTTTTAGCATTCTTTTCTACCAAATTACATTTCTTATTGCCTCAAATAAGACTATATTCTATACTTTAGTTATTGACATTGCTACGATTGATTAAAGCTTGGATTTCTAATCAAAGCTTAGATTAGTAAGTCACTTATTTTTTATAATATACCAAAATTTAACTTTTTTATATTAATATCACTAGTCTAATATGCATCTATATAAATTATATATTATCCTTTGTTTGATACTTGATAAAATATTTTCAAGTTTTGAATAACTTTAAAGTATCAAAACACATGCATATTGCCTTATTAGTATGCTACAAAAAGAGCTATTATAAACTTATTAAATACATTAATGAAATAACTGATATTAAGACAATCAATATTAAAAATAAACAACAAACTACCTACAAAAGATCCGTATGATTTTAGATCAACTACATCCTCTAAAGATATTGATAATCTTATTCCATCTAGCATAAGTGTTGGACTTAAGTTGCAATGACTCATTCCAAATCTCTCCAATACCAAGTCAACACAATTTCTTTAATGCAACCAAATTCCATGTAGATTTTTAAATAATTTTGTACCTAAATATACTTAAACTAGATCCAACTCAGTCATTTCATATTTTGAAATAAATCAATTCAAAAAATCTCATCTTGGTTTTTTTTTGTATATAGAATTATATTATATTCCACTTCTTAGTAAAAGATGATTGTCTAGTAGTTTTTGGCAATGACTTCTTTACATTGGTTGATACAACTTGATTTCTTCTTTTGTATGTCATAAGTATATTAATATAGAAGGATGATCTATGATTCAATGATGATATGATACTTAAAGATGGTGAAGAAATTTCTTATCTCTGAACCTCTTGAATAGATGTGGTAAGATGAAATGTGTGAAATGCTTCTAATAGAGCTAAGTTCTCCTATTCTATATTTTTATAATGTTGTTCATTCTTTTGGCAATATAAATCATTAAAAATACTTAAAAAAAATAAAATAAAAATAAAAAAATACTTTTGTATTTTTTTTAATGATCCCTTAAGATAATCATAACCAATTTTTGTTTCATCAAACTAAACATCTTTACTTATAATTATCTTATCTTTATTAAAATCAAAGAGCCTATTTGTTTTACTATTGTTGTCATAACTAACAAAAATATACTTGATCTTTTTTAGAATTGATCTTTTTTCATTGTTTTTTTAAATATATGGAAATAAGTAATATATCTAAATATTTTTAAATATTTAATACTTGGCATTTTTTTAAATATCTCTAATAAGATGTCTTTTTATTATTGGCTTACATAGAATTAATATTTGTAAGATAGATTGTAGTATTGATTGCTTTTAGCTACAAAATTATAGCGAGCTTGTTATAAATAAACATACTATATGTTTTTCAATAATTGTTATATTATTTTCTCAGCAACCCTATTTTACTAGGAAATAAAAGCTTGAGTGAGTTGTCGTGCAATATTCTTCTCTTTGCAATAATCACAAGACTGATTTGATAAAAAAAAATTCCCATGTATGTTCTCAATACTTTTATTTTTTTTCTAGACACATTCTTAAGAAGTTTGAATAATAAAAAAAAAAAAAAAAACTTATCAATTTTTTGTGATTTTTCTTTCATAAAATAAATCTAATTTTTTTATAAAAAAATCATCTATAATATATATATATATATATATATATATATATATATGGATCCACCTAATGAAGGTTTTAAATGCCCAACCAAGTCAATGTGCACCAATTTCAAAGGTTTAGTAGCTCTTTCTTCACTTTTCTTAGGAAACTTAGTTTAATATTGATGTTCAATATTATATATCTAACACTTATTATTCAAAGCATGAACTATTGGTAATTTAAAAACTTTGTGCTTTATATAAGCATATTTGAAATTATAATAACTAAGATATCCAAATCTGTGATATTAAAACTTTGATTGATCATTCAATGTAATACTCACTTCTATATGCTCACTTTTAAGTCAATATAATATGCTACATGCATCATGATAATCATATACAATCACATTGCTATCAAGAATCATTGCTATCAAGAATTCAACACTTATCATTTGAAAACATAACTATATTTCTATCATTTGCTAATATGCTAATAAAAAGTAAGTTTTTGTTTAAAGTTTGAACTTAAAGCACATTTTTTCTTGTTATGATTTTTTCTTTTTTAGTTTTTACATTCACATCTCTTTATATATGTGCCATATAAGATTTTCTTTCAATATCTATTATTTACTAAAAATAATATAAGAGAGTAAAATTAAACAAAAAATATATTTCTCCAATGATATGTTGTGAAGTCCTATTATTAAGATACCAATTTTTGTCCTTCAAATTGTTTGTTAGAAATCTTTGTGATATCAACTTACACCACTTTGTGGATACTATCTTCATCATTAAAATTCAAAGATAAATCTTCTTTAATTTTAATACATGTTGCATTAGCAAATTTATAGATGTTGTAGAATTTTCTTGACTCTGAAATTTTTTGCCATATGTCATGGGCTTGCTGCATACAAAAAAATACATGGTTAATGCATCAACATTTTGCATTTTCAAAATGTTTCTTTTTTGATTAGACGTAATTCTTCCTTTGCTATTAGTCTGTCTTCTTTTCACATTGAAATTTTTATAATTCTTCAATTTAGAGGCTTGCATTATCAATGCTTTACTCTTGATTTCTTCTTTTATTGCTGCTTTTAGTAGCAACCTATGAAACTTTGTCATGAATTTGGAATACACTTTTTGGAATCTAAAAAATTCATCTCTTCTTATAACGCTCTAAGTAAGGCTATTATATTTATTAAAAATAGTATTAAATATTATTTTATTAATATTTTAGTAGATACTAGTTTGCTTAATATGGCAAGTCAATTCTTAAGCTCTCAAGGAATAGACAAAAATTCTTTAATTGGTAGTCTATCCTTAAAATTTAAGGTTATGAATTGATATAAAAAGTTTATCACTTGAGCAAGGTCTCCAAATTCTAATTCATCTTTCAATGCTCTCTATGCATTTATTGAGTCATCATACTCTTGAATAATATGAATAAGATAATCCTTGATAAAAAAAATATAAGAATCTTGATTGTTTTATTCTTTATTTTTTTAAACTACATCTTTGTCAATATCAAATTATTATACATATGTGGTTAATTTGCAAGTACTACCTTTTCATTAACAAGCTTCTATAAAGTCTCACTCTTTAATAATATTCTTATTTTTAGCTTCTACATATTGTAATCGATCTCACCAATGATCTTATTACTCTCTCTTATTCCTAGCATAAGGTCTCTTTAAGAAGTTATTTCTACACTTAATATTTGGTTCTTATGCACCAATCTAATTCTTATTAATTGTTCAATAATTATAACTTTGATACCATAAAATAAATTTACAATAATACAATGAGAGTATATATTAAATTACAATCTCTTATATAAAACAACTCAAGGAGGAAAAAACCAATGAAATAAACAAGAAGAGAAAAAAATCCTCTATAATTGACTATATATATCATTTTTTTCATCAATTTTTTTTGTCAAAATTTGAATTCACATAGCCTTAACAAAATGAGGGCCATATCAATTCATAGGGTCTTAAAAGCATTTTAAAACATCTAAGAAAGAGTGAAGATATACTTTGCATAATATCATGACTAAATCTATTTTTAATAAAATCCAATTCAATGTTTGCTCAAAATACCTCAGAGATCATTTATAAAACCTGTAAAAGTATTCAACTGCAATCAATTTGTGTGGAGAATTTATATTATTGCAACCTAATCTATAAAGAGGCAAAGAAGGATATTGGATTGGATTTATATTGAGGAATGCACAATAGAATTACGATTGCACTAATTGATATAGTGTACATGTATTTTGCAAATCTACTTTTTATTACTCTAAGTCTTTGTGAAGGTAAAGAAATCCTTCCCATTCAATACGGTGACACAACTTACATTCTTAGTTTATAGGTTGCAAAATTGTGGATGGTTTTTATATTTGATGTGCAAGTATTTGGAGTAAGTAAGACACCTTAGATATTCA